AAAAAAAAAAAAAAAAAAAAAAAAACTGTTAAGGGCTTGATAGCTTACCAGACATGATTGTCTTCAGGTTAATATTCAAATATTACCTCATACTATCGTACATTTCTCAAAACAAAGCAATCTTCCAAAAATCAAATAGCTATCACACAAATGAAGATGGTTTCAGGTAAACGGAGTCGAGGACATGACAACGAACTTGCGTCTTCAGGATCATGAAACATAACAGGCAACCCTGCCTCAAACAAGACGGCACATAGGGGACGAACTATTTTATGTCTAAAACACTAAGCAGAAGTCTTTTGACATGCCAATTCCACGATCATGGAAAGATCTCTGAAAGTAAACTTCTAACTAAGAATTCCATGAATGTTTATATACATACACAATTGTCCATAAAATGCATACCAACACATCTAGTAAATCGGTAAACAAACAGAGCATACATTTCGGATTCACATTATTGAAAGACTTGGAACATACAAGTTGGATTGTGGACACACACACAGGAGCAAGTAAACATATATGCTGCAATGAAGATCTAATCACTAATTCGGTTGAGGTCTCAGTACAGTGAATTTACCAAATGGAGCTAAAATTAAAGTGGCCAAACTAGGGGAAGGTTCAGCTAAGCGATAACCTAATTCTGAACGATCTGATTTTAAGTACAATCTGATTTTAAGAAGTCTGTCACAATTATATATGCTTACAGTAGTTAGTTGAGGATAAAACTAGACCAACTTGGATCTTCTTGACAAAAGTACAAAACTGAGACATATTCTCATACTAAAATTCTTCCTCAAAATTACTCTATAAATGTTAGCCAGATTCTTAGCTCAATCTCTTCATAATCAAAACTCACAGCTCATCCTCGTAATCGGACAGCTGCTTCATCTCCTCCAATCCCTTCCTCCTCCTAGTTGCCTTCACCAGCTTACCCACCTCGGATTCGGCATCCAGCGGGTCGGGATACATTATGGCCCAGTGGTCAAACACCGCTTGTTGGAAAATCTGGCCGGAAGTCCTATCCCGGAGGTTGGTGAATAACTCAAAAGACTCCATCACCGGCAGGACGGCCTTCAAATTGTAGAATAGTGTGCCAGGCATCTCCGCATCTTCCAACACGTGTCCACACTTCTCGTATATACTTTGGTGGATCAGCTCTAGGTCGCACTCAATCGCCTGAATCTCGACCAAGTACATGGGCTCCATGAGACAAGGAGTGGCCGAGAGATAGGCTGCGTGCATGCAACGTTCAGCAGTCTCGATGATCTGTCGCTCGAGCTCGTCTCTGAGGATGCTGTCCCGGTCGTCGATCACGGCATCACACAGCTCAAAGCAAACGCCCCTCATTTTCTCTCCGGCGAGCGGGCCCACCTCCGAGGCTCTCTGAAAACCGGCCACGACAAATTCCTTGATTTCGGTAAGGTGCTCGACCACTCCTCCCTTGCACTTGTTG